AAGGAATCCAAGAATAGGATTAGGAAGCAGGAACCACAAACTTTGCTCTAGTCACAATTATCTGGGATTTGACCTTAAACAACCACTTTGGAGTATTCAGTGTAAGAGGAAGTATTTGGAGAACCGAGAGTCCCCTCAGAGTTCAGATACATATTTCCAGCCCACAAAACCAGTCAGTAACCAATGAGATGCATTTTGTGGAATGGAAGGATGTAACAAAAAGAACACATATGCTGGAGAGCTCAGTTTTGCTCCTTACAAGTTAATGTCCTTGAGCTCTGTAAGCCTCAGTACCCATAAAATGACATAACAACATTTTAGGGTTGTGAGGATTATCAAAATGGCTGATGAACAATAAACGCTCAATTACTGTGAGCTATTATTAATCACTGCCATAACCTATACATACACACACATACAATGGTGAAAACATGGACCTTAGCCAAGGTCAGCATCTCATTCTCAGTGGCTAATATTCAACACATATTTCGCAAAGATCTACTCTGTTTTGTTGACAAACATTTGATCAGCTGCTTGAGCATGGTGACAGAAATGATGCATTCATTCTCAGTTACCTCTGTGCTAGCATCAATATTTATTAATTAATGCCAGCAGCTACTCAGTAATGTAGAAATTAGCCAGCTATGCACATGAACCTAAGCATCACATATCTTTAAATATAGCTGAAAACTATCCAAGGTGATCTGTGGATTCTTCCACAAGCTTGGATTTTGGTACCAATAATAAACACTGAATACTGAAGGAAATGTAAGAGTTCATGAGCATGTTGTATATTTCTCTGACAAGATTCTACAACCATATACAAATGCTTTAGATATTGTTTCATATTAATCATGCTTTCCACACTAGTAGCACAGAATCAACCAGATAATTCACTTTGCTGGTACGTTTGGAAACAGCAATTCTCAGTGTTTGGGACCCAGGTCAGCTTGTACCAGAATCATCTGATAGGCTGGTTAAAAGCCCTTTCCAACCATCCACTGTACCCCAGGACATAATGAATGAGAATCCTTGGAAATGGGGCCAAGGAATCTTTACATTTAACAAGTTCTCTAGATAATTCTTATTCAAAGTAAAGTTTAGAAAATACTGAGTTTAAGATATAAGGTGGTGTGGTTACTGGATAGAATTATCACAACCTTTCGCCTTCAAACTCTGACACTTTGTCAAAATTGAGTCTCTTTTCTTACTTAAGAACAATCTGGTTAATATAATCATCCTAAAAATTAAATATCTTTCAGTGTCTTTGGGTCAGCATTCTGGATTCAATTTAAGTGTAGATAACTGAAGAGCAGAAACACAGAGTGGGAAGGAGGCCGAAGAGTTCAGTCGTTTAAAGGCTTTGGTTCAGGGCTGCAGGGAACTCTGCACCATTACTGCTCCAGGCACAATTCTCAGATGAGCTGTTCCTTCCCGTCCGCACCCTCCCTGCTTACATCACGTTCATCACAGCATGCTGTGGAAGAGCCAGCACACTTAGTGTTCGGCATGTGTCATGATTATGCTACAGTCATTTCTAAGCCAGGGAACTGCTAGGTTTTCCCTAATTAACAGCACACTTTCAGAGGACAATGGTCAGCTTTTGGTGATTTTCTTTTTCTATATGTTATATTTGTCCTGACCATATTTACTGAAATGTAATTTTATGTCTATTGAACCTAATTAAAAATAAAAACAACTGGACTTACTTTGTTTTTTTCACTTTTCTTGTAATTCACTTTTACTACATTTTTCAAATACGTTAGCTATATGACAGATTAAAAAAAAATTCTTCACTAGGAATAGTTTGCAAAGCACAGCTCTGCACCACTCCTTTAAATAAAATAAAACACAGCTCTAAATTTAACATCTTTTCACCTGCTAAATAATAGGGGGTTACACCAGATCATCTATGAAATTCTCTAGCTCTGTAATTCTCCATGGATAGTTATATCTCACTTTCTTACAGGTGGATTATTCACTTTGTAAATGATCCAGGACAAAACATTATATTTACAGCTTACTTTCTGCTGCCTCTCATTGTAACTCTGCACTTTCTCTCCCACTGTGAGACAGTGTGGGGTTAAAGAATAAACAGCATTTTAATAATAGCCTCATCAAAATGTAATTAAAAAAGGTAATTTGGCACCAAAAATATTACATAATACACACCAAAGATAAAGTCTAGACATTTCATACCGTCTGCTA